TACTAATTTTCTTTTTCTAGATTCATTGAGAATTGTGTAAATCTGTTTGTGTGTCTTTTTGTTTTTGTATCCTAAGGTTGTGTCACAATCTTGATGTCTTCTGAATTGTTCCTTGATCTGCATCTTGATTTTTCCCAAGAGTGCAAAAGATTATTTGTAGTCTATTTTGATGAATCATTATTTTGTACTATTCACTTAACTTTCTGCATCGAATTGTATTAGTGAATTGTGTTTAATTCTCCATTATTGTCTCATTTTCACTATTTGGTCTTAATTTGACCAATAATTCTTATTTTAATTAATTTGAATTATCTGGGCTTATTTATTTTCATTATTATTTTCACGACAATTTTAGGAAATGCATTTTGGGACATTACGAGAGTTGCCACATTATTCTCCACTCTCCAAAACAACATTTTATTGCCTGAACCAATTGTTTGAATTCGTGTTTTAGTTGTTTAAATTCAATTCGTAAAACTGTCCACAAACCCCTCCCCCCCCATTACATGTTTGTTTTATTGCCTGAACCAATTGTTGGTCGTTGAGAGACGACCTAGGGGTCATTCTCCGAGTATATTGTATTTTAATTGCATATTAATTTGATTTGGGTACGACCCCGATCAAGCTCCCGCAGCATAAGCCATGCAGACAGCATATCAAGCGTTAAACTCATAGGCCATATTTGTGGCCTCTTATGGAGTCATTCCCTTGAAGGGTTTCTTCTCTTCAGGGGTAAGGTTGTACTGGATCCGTTCAACAATCCAAACGTTAAGATCCATCGGTCCAGACAGAAGGGGACCTTTAAGCACGCTCTGCCTTCCCCGTTTGTTGGATGAAACAAACCTCTCCCAGGAGGCCTTTCTTTTTGTCTTACCCTTGGGAGCCGGAATTTGTGCAATGGGGGTCGACTCAGAGGCTTTAGGAGTAGAAGAGGGATCGGGCTTAGGGGTTATTCACAAAGCGGCTAGGACCGACCAGGAGGAGGGCAACGACTTGGGAACCTTAGGACAAGTGAAAACAGAGGATGTTCCTTCTCCCATCTTCTTGAGTTCTTCTTTTCATCGGGCCATCATCATGGCAAAAGCACTGGTTGTTCCCTTGTCCATAACAACGCAAACTAAAATTTAGATAAGTTACAAATGACGGTCCAACAAGAAATATTTTAAAGCGCTTACCGAACACTCTAGTATATAGCGCGTTGGAACCCAAGAAGCCGATGAGCGTCTGGGAAGAGGTCCGACGGGGTAGCTAATCAAGCTGGCCGGCTACGTCCCATTCAGCGGGGGTCATACTAGACTTCGCCCATGAAATCATCCTTTTGGGGTGCTCGGTCTAGTAGAAAGGAAACTTCGGCTGACCATCGTCTATAAAGAAGTTGGACCGACCGACTTCTGTTATTGCGACTTTGAGAAATTTGGTTTTGAAATCTTTATACGATGTGTTAAACAATGTGAACAACTGACAATCTTTAACGGACATCAGTGATATCCACGATTTATTAGGATGAGGCAACGCTCGGAAAAAATAAAGGAAAGAAGCAAGAGTGGGCGTAAGAGCCAAGGCAGTGCAAACGACGCTGAAAGCTTGCCCGTCCATTCGGATGGAGCTGTGTAGGTGCAAAGTTCAGCGTGCAGAGAACGCCTATTTGAAAGTCGGAGAAGGGAAGACGAACGCCTAAGTCACGAAACAAGGTCGAGTACACATAGAAAAAGTCACTACTATACCGTTATCGCCCGTGACAGGCTTGTTCATTCAATTTACAAAGGTTTAATCCTTTTCAATATCTCTATTTCTATAGGATCGTCTCAAACTGGTCCTCGTATTTTAAAGTCTCTCGATTAGGTCCTTAATTGTTAAAATTTGAATCAAATTAAACCTTGCCGTTAAGTTAGGTAGACGACGTCAAAAAAATTGATTAGTGGCTTAGTGACTTGACTAAGTGTTGTTGACGTGGCACATATTGATTATCTGAGTTGGCTTTTTTTTTATTTATTCATTTAAAAAATTGACTTTAATCAAAACGCAACGTTTTGTCTACGAAAAATGTATTTTTTATTTATTCAATAAAAAATAATTTTTAAAGAATATGTAAAGGAGTGAATAGATTATTTAGTGATATTGAATCTGATATTATCAACAAAACCAATGTTGAGATAAGTAACATTTTTTTGAAGTTTCTGATTCCTCTTCCCAAATCTTCCATCAACAAAATACCATCTAACAATCCAACAAAACTTCAGCTCCGCAACGAATAAAACATATATAATTCCACCATACATCAACAACAACCCTATCTTCTTCCTCCAGATCCACACTCTGCGTCCTCGTCTTGGCCGACAACCGCACAGATCATGGACGGCGACCTCAAGACACCCCTGCTGGTGGGAGAAATCGAGGAGGTGGAGGCGACACCGAGGGAGGTCACTCCCCGCATGAGCGAGCGGGCGAAGCATGTGCGGACGAAGGTCTCCGAGGTGGAGATCCACCTCTACCTGCAAGGCGGGGCCCATCGCGGTTTTCAAGTCGCCACTGGGCACGGCGTTCCGGTCTGACTTCATCCCAGGAATGGGAGGTCCATGTTGACGGACGGTGCGGCGTTCTGGTCTGGCTCCCCTCAGGATTTCAATCTTCCAATTTAGGGATTTCTTGAAATCCCAGTTACTTTCCCAAATTTCTCAAAATTCCACATTGAGTCAATTCTGATTATAAAAAAACCTAACTATAATCATTTTTCGTAGACAAAACGTTGCGTTTTGATTAAAGTTAATTTTTTTAAATGAATAAATAAAAAAAAAAGCCAACTCAGATAATCAATATGTGTCACATCAACAACACTTAGTCAAGTCACTAAGCCACGAATCAATTTTTTTTGACGCCGTCTACCTAATTTAACGGCAAGGTTTAATTTGATTCAAATTTTAACAATTAAGGACCTAACTGAGAGACTTTAAAATATGAGGACATGTTTGAGACGATCCTACAAAAATAGGAATATCGAAAAGGATTAAACCATTTACAAACGATCAGTTTAATGTTGTTAGCGTCAGTTTCACTAGCCAAGATGTACACGTGTCCGACGAGCTCCTCCAAGGATAACCTAGTAACGAAGGAAGGAGCGTAAAGCCTTACTTCATGAGGAGCCCAGCCATACCCAGGAGCGACGACAAGAGGAACACAACGACCGTTCCATTCTCTGGCAGTATCAATCTCTATCTCCACAACGATTTCCTCCTCTGCGACCTCCTCGGAAGAATCACTGACCTCGATAGGAGAAACCCTAGCAGTATCTTCGGCCCTCTGAGCTGATGAGGAGAGTGCCTCCGTCGCATCATCGACATACCCCCGACCCTCTCTTTGGGACAACTTCGTCTCAAACGACATAATTACCCGAAGATAAGAAGAGCGATCGGTTTAGTAGGAAATAAGAAGAAAAGTGTGAAAATGACAACGACCCCACCTCTTATTTATAGTCGATAAAAGGGGCTTATGGGCCTTGATCATGACTGTTGATCGCATTTTGATCAAACGACAAAGGATGGTTGACCTTTCATCTTTAGCATAAAAACAAATCTTGTGGATCCATGTGTCCCACGATCAGCGGTTAACAAACGGTAAATTTATAATGGTAACTGCAAGTAACCGCGCTCCAGCACCAACACCTTAACCGACCGGTGACAATTATAAACCCATCGCAACTAAAGTCGCTTGGGACTCGAGGGGCCTGTGTACCATATGTTATACCGATCGGTATATATCCAGGCGAGTTGACTGCCGACAGGACATGACCAATCAGAAGTGTTAGATGTTAAAGGGTATTAAAGCCTCATTAATACAATAACGGTCGTTAATGGATGGTTAACTCACATCTTAATGGCTAGTAATGGTTAATTAATAAGTTTGATTACTAAAAATTTTATAAATAAAGGTTTGATGACGAGGTAAAGACACTTCTGACATAATTAAGTACATTTTATACCTTCTTGAGAGACACATCTAACTTGAGCGTCAAAGTAGTCAATTACCGATCAACTTGGAGTGAATCGAAGGACAATCGAACAAGACGGTCGTCCCTATGTACCGAAACAATATGGTTATTTTAAAAATAAAAATATATGTTTTTTTAATCTTGTTCAGTTCGGTTAAACTTGAAATAAATATTTTTGAAATATGAAAATTTCCAATGACTTATGTAAGGATAATTAATTAAATGGATAATGATACTTTGACAGCATTTTTTTGACAACATTTTAACATCATCTACGTGTTATTCTGTGATTGGTCCATGTAAGTGTTTATGATTATTATTATTAATTATAGAGTAATTTTAGACCAATCATAAAATAACATGTAGATATAAATGATGTTAAAATGTTGTAAAAAAATATTCTTAAAATATCATTATCCTTGATTAAATATAAAGCTCCATCACATTCACGTAACCACATTCGAAGACCGCCACAACAGAAAAGAATTTCAAACAGCAATACTCCATTGTCGATTCTCGTGTCAGCATCTCAATACATCACCAGTTCACTTAAGAAAACGCACTTCCTTCTTCTTCTTCTTTATTTTTTTCTTCTTCGGTCACGTGCATGGATAGTTGCCGGGACCTCTGCAAGTGTTGCCTCGGCATCGTCTTCTCCCTGGGTTTCTCGGCGCTCTTCCTCTGGCTCAGTCTCCGCACGGACCCTCCCAAATGCTCCCTCCAATCTCTCTCTCTTCTCGCCCAAAACGACACCGTCGTCTTCCAACTTTCCCTTCGAAACGTCAACAAGGACAAGGGCGTCAAATACGGCGTCGTTCTCGTCACCTTCGCGCTCTTCCTCGACAACACCACCACGCGCCCTCTGGCCAACGCCACGCTCCTCCCATTCTACCAGGGACGCGGAAAAACCGCGCGCAAGTGGGGTTCCGCCGTGGCGCCGCGCTTAGCCCGACTCAACCTCACGGCGGCGGTGAAGAACGGGAATGTGTTCCTGCGCGTGGAGTTCGCTACTCGGGTGAAGTACAAGGTGTGGCTGTCGTTTTACATTAAACGGCACCATTTGGTCGGAGGGGCTAATGTTGAGATTAATGCTAGCTCCGGGGAGAAGGTGGAGCCTAAAGCGATTAGGCTCGGAGACGTCCCTCCCAGGCTCGGGTCCCGAGCTGCGATGGTTCGGAGTTCGTATGTGGCGGTTGTTGGAGTTTTTGTCACAGTTTTTTTTCTCACTTGTGTTGACCGTTGACTATTGAGTGTGATATGTTTAATTATAATTGGTAATTTATATTGTGTTGAATTGCTTTGATGCTGAGACGGTGGGTAAAAAAGTTCATGCAATCGGAAATGGTGGTAAGTATTGGTGTTATCTAAGAATAGTTCTGTCATTTTTTAGTATCTTGTCATTGATTTATAAGAGAAAAAGAAACACCAAATATGTTAAATTTTTTATTTATTCACACATTTTAACTAAGATAGATACACATTAGTACTAACCCTAGTTAAAAAATTTAGAAATGAATTTTTAATTGAAATATTTCTCTTAATTTTTTAATGAGTGTTAAATATCATATATCGCAATATTAGGGAAGAAAAATAGGTCATTCATTTGAAATATTATTTGTGTTAGTGCATTATATTTTCCACTTTTTTTAACTATTAAAATTACATTTTTTTTTCAGGCATGCTTTCGTAAATGTAACAAGAAGAAGAAATTGCAAAATAGATTTTATAAAAATAAAAAATATTCATTTTTCTTAGTCTATAGCAAACTTCAAGAAAAAAAGATAAGACGTCATGATACATAACGAAAACAAAGCACCAAGTTTTGATTTTAGAGAAACAGGGAAATGATATTTTAACATTTTTCATTTATTTGACAATTAATTTTTACAATTCATTTTTAAAAATAATATGGTTATTAGGAAATTTTATTTTTATATTTATAAGAAAATATAGATGATGAAGGATAAGATAAAAAGGTGTAAAAGATTATTCAATGTCAAGAAAGTATAATATATATAATTACTATCTCATCATTTAACATTTAATGGGAGTCGACATTTTTGCTTTCCTCCTAACACTCTTATGAAATACGAAGTTTATAATTAATTGGTACAAATCATAATTTTCTTTTTCAATTTTATGAGAAATCATATTTTGAAATTTAGAATTTGTTTGCTTAATTGATTTTATATGAAATCTTTTTTTTTTTCATTTCATTAATGAATGTTTTTTTCGAATAGTTTTTGATGAAACCTTAAATTTGGTATATCTCCTTTCTGGTGCGTCACATATGATTTTTCTCTTATAATTGGTTTTCTTATTCTCCTTTCTTGTGATTATCATTGGGTCCTTTTTTTACACTCAAACGTTGGGAAAGCACTGTATAACCATCGTTCTAGATCCAGATGCTCACGATGCTGAAAGTTGCGATGGCATAGGCGTGTTGTGTCACGATGGCGAGCTCAACTTCACATTCTTAGGGTTAACTATGGCTCACACATAGTAGAGGTGGTTTGCGAGTTTGCAGGTGGAGAATCGCGATGATGGTTTTGCGTTTCATCTGTTGGGATCGTTGTTGGCGAAGAAGGTCTTAGCTCTGTTGTGGTGGCCTTCGTTTTTGCTGGATCTGGTTTCCTGCAAGTGGGAGAGTCTTCACGACGATGATTAAGGGGTGGTTTGATGTCACCGAGAGGCGAAGACCGATATCCTTTCAAGCAGAACAAAGGTCGACATCCGACATCACAGAAGCTTTTTGCAAATCTATAACATATAGCAAGTTAAGCTTGGGAGGCTAAACGTTCAAATACACCTCGACGATGACAATATAGGATGTACTCCTTGTCGAGTACATGTCAGGAGACTAAGTCGACATGTACTCGTCCATATATATTCGACCAGGATGACATCAAGTTAGCTAGACATATATATTAATTATGATAAGTTAAGAAAAATGTTAACCTAATATTGATAGATAATTAGGCTACATGGTTCAAGCTCATCCAAGTAAGGACCAGGTAAGGATTCATAAATAGTAGTATAAATGACACATCTTACGAGGTACATTAATTACATTCATTACTGCATTTATTATCATTTGATGCACTTAGCTAACTTGAGGGTTGAAATGTCGTTTATAGGCACAATTCCTATTCAGACTTGAAATGTCTTTTATAGGCACAACTCCTATTCAAACTGAAGGGGACAAGTACTTCCTAAAAAGGATTACTACTTAATGCATGAAACTAGAAGTGTTTAAAGTTAGAAGTCTTTGCAAGATATATTTGATTATGTAAGAACAATAAATATCAATTGTACCTTTTCTAAAAAATTAATCATATATATATATATATATATATATATATATGTGTGTGTGTGTGTGTGTGTGTGTGTGTGTGTGTGTGTGTGTGTGTATGTGTGTGTGTACTATACAAGATCCGCCGACAAGAGATTGAAGAGAGACGATCAGTAAAAAACGTGAGGATAGTAGATCGGCCATCTAGACGAAAGTGCCAGTCGGCCTGGTAGGCACACTGAAGGACATTAATGGGTAATCAATGTGAGTAATTACCCTATCATATGCATATATATTACATTTATGAATGATTGACAGGGTACATTAGTTGGGATACACTGAATATATGATGTTAAGGTAAAAATATACTGCATTAATGGACATTCAATGGACTGGACAATTGCAAAACCTATAAATGCAAGGTGAATGATCAAGTAAGACCATCTTATACCATAATTATAATGAGACCTCTTTATGAAACATATCTGACTTGAGCGTTAGAGTGTCTTCTAGGGGTCAACAACCTATCAGAGTGGATTGCGTCCTCAAAGAGGATTGAAGATCAAAAGAGAGCAGAGCAAGGAAGGACGTCCAACCCTCAGACCAATTACAACCGAAACATTTTGGCGCTTACCGTGGGATCGAACGACATCCCATTGGAACCACAAGAAACCAAGACGAACGCTCGACCTACTCATTGCTACTTCGAAACGAATAATGGAACAAATAAGTATTAAAACTTTAGAAGAATAAACTTTTTCTTATGTCAAAATTTATGACATTTCTACTAGATGTTTAGTAGTTTCAGGCTTTGGGATAACAGGCTTTTGAGTTCTTTTGGATCGGCCTACTTCAATGACTTGAGAACGGTGTTCTCTTCTCCTTGGTTTTTATTGTGGTGTTTTATTAATTCAATATCATATTATTCAAAATTAATTTATCCAAAAGGAGACTCCAATAACACACCCAACATAAATATATTATTCAAGATTTCTTTTACTATCCTAAATTTATTTTACTATTAGTTCATAATTTAATTCAAGATTGATTTATCAGGAGCAAATAATTTTAGGTTAACGAGAATGTTGACATCTTATTCTCCTTTTAT